TTATGTGGATCCTGAGAAACTTAACAGAAACCCATGGGGGAGGGGAAGAAAAAAAAAAGAGGTTAGAGTGAAAGAGAGCCAAAGCATAAGAGACTCTTAAAAACTGAGAACAAACTGAGGGTTGATGGGGGGGTGGGAGGGAGGAGTGGGTGGGTGATGGGTATTGAGGAGGGCACCTTTTGGGATGAGCACTGGGTGTTGTATGGAAACCAATTTGACAATAAACTTCATATATTGGAAAAAAAATGAATAATTGTGAAAAAAAATTTTTTTAATTAATGCTAAAGAGATGATTATGCCAGGAATATAATAATAATCAAACAACTGATACTGTTTGCTTGCTTGTATCTTTACAACTATAATCAGTCTTCAGTTTCCTTTCAGCAAAACATGTGACCATTTTGTAATGGCTAGCTTAGTTAAAACCAGGTAATATATTCTGTAATTAAATCTACCCAGGTTCATACATTGCAACAAAAGAAATAAACAAATCCCATAATCATCACTCCCTGTAGAATATCCATTTCTCCTTAGGAAAGACATGCACCACTTTGCCAATGTCCCCTGTCCAAAAAGCACCAGGAACTCACATGGAGTTGTACATATTAGATTTGTTCCTTATGAAAATATTTTAATAAATATGTATTAAAAATGCATAACATGTCTGACACCATGCTGTTAAAAATTAATTTTAGTCCTTGTCAATGTAAATAAAAATGAGATAGTATTTATTAATAATATTAACTTAATAATAATAGTACCTAGTACTAAGTAATGTTTACAATGTGCCAAGCATTAAATGCTTCACATATAACAATTACATAATCCTCTCAATAATCCTGTGAGGTAGATGCTATTTTCATTTCTTTGTTTTATGTTTCTTTATTTTGAGAAAGTGAGAGAGCATGAGAGGGGGAAGTGCAGAGAGAGAGGGAGAAAGAGAATCCCAAGCAGGCTCATCAGTGTGGACCCCAATGTGGGGCTCCATCCCACAAACCTTAAAACCATGACCTGAGCTGAAACCAAGAGTCGGACGCTTAACTGACTGAGCTACCCCGCTGCCCCAGTTTTCATTTCTTGAACTACTAGTAGATTTAAACATATTTTTTAACTGCATTCAGACTTACAAATACACTTTTTGAGAGTTATTAAGACAGCATGAGGAATGCTGTCCTTTGGTCAAGGATTCCTAGGAGTTATTGCATACATTTAACCACTCTAAATCAATATTGACCTCAAGAATACAGAAGTTATATAAATTTAGGAGTCAAAATTTAATGTAAATATTACCAGGTTTATATTCAATTTTATGGCTTTGACTTTTAGGTAGAAGCAAACTGTTTTTTGATTCCTGACACCCAAACTCAACCTGGAATCTGGTTTTACACATCTTACCTACATGTGAAAATAATAGATGCTGCATGAATATTTCCCCTAGAGTTTCCATTTTTTTGTTTTGTTTTTGTCAAGTGCCTACTCATCTCCATCTATTTTTCTAATGGTGTTGTTCATTTTCTTAGGAATTTTAAGTGATTCTTAAATGTGCCTTAATGGCACATTGCTGATTTTAATCTTTTGACATTTATCTAGCAAATATCTTTCTCAGTTGTCCCCTATTTAGATTTTCATGAACTAAAGTCCATCTTTCCATTTCAAATGTTGAATTTTATTTGTACCATCATTTTGGTTTTCTCTTATAACACTTCTCACACACCATTATCATAATTTGAATTTTTGGGTTATAGAAAAGATCAATCAAGTGAAGGTGACAGAAAAGTGAAAGAGCAAGAGTAAAGTAAAAACAGTGTCTTTCCAGTAACATCTTTACAGACAACAAAATAACACACATCATAGCTTCAGCCATACTGCATGATCATTCTCCGTAGGTGTACATAAAAATGTATGTTTAAACTTGCTAGTTCTTATCAAAATCAGAGTACAGAATTAGAGCATTATTTCCCTAAAATTTCAAGCACAGTGTACAGAAAGTGAAAACTTAAGTCCAAAGTTATCTGAGATAAGCTTAAAGTCTATATCCTAAAATTGCTCATATTTTTCCAGTAAAGGCATTATCTCTGTTAGACACAACTGAAAAGTAAATGGGTACTCAAAAAGAACATCTGCAGCAGAATTTTAGTAAAATCTTAGTGGTAATTTATTTTTCACATTGCTTGGAAAGAAACAAATGATTCTGTCAATATCCTCTAACAATTCCAGTGCCTTCAAGAAATGTAATGTGTTAAATTATATCACCACTTTCAAAGTTAAGAAAGTTAAAACTTCTTTGAGGGCTAGATGAATAGGCCAAAATTTCAAAGTTCAAAAAGTCACAAACTGTAAGAACTGAGGAAAAAACACACACATCTTTTGGTACTGTTGAGGAAGATTTCCTTTCCTATTCATGGTCCTTCTAGCCAGACTAAGAATCAAAATGATATGAGACAGATTAACAGGTGAAAATCAAACTTAATTATGTATGTATGGGATATCCAAACAGACATAGGAATTCCAAAGACAGCCAGGCAAAATGAGATATGTATGTCATTCTGAACTAAGGAGAAGAAATAGAGATCTGGGATCTCAAAGAGAAGGAATGCAATTCACAGGAAAAGGGAAAAGAGTAAATGCTTGATAAATGTTTGCTGGGCCTTTCAGAAACAATGGGACATAGAGGACTTTGATCAAAGAGGCCCTGCTTGGGACACCTGGGGGGCACAGTTGGTTGGGCATCCACCTTCGGCTCAGGTCATGATCTTAGGGTCCCGTCCATGAGTTCCAGCCCCGCGTCGGGCTCTGAGCCTAGAGCCTGCTTCAGATTCTGTGTCTCCCTCTCACCCTGCACCTCCCCCACTCAAACTTTGTCTCTCTCTCTCTCTCTCAAAAATAAACATTTAAAAAAATTTTAAAAACAAAAAAAAACAGGCCCTGTCTACCATACCTAGTTCACAGTATAATGTAGTAATCTACAGTGATAACTCTTCCTAGAGAAGGTCCTCCATCTAAATTCTCTTTAGGGAGTTGTTGGGCGGGGGGGAGGGGGTAAACAGCTTTTCCTGAATCTACTGGGTTTTGATTGCTTTTTAATTCAAAGTAGTCTTCATGCCAAGTGGCCCATCTTGGGGCAGTGTGCCCTTGGCCCCTACAGTACTGATATACTGTAATCACAATCTGTGATTTTAATACATAGAATGTTAAACAATGATTAAATAATCCTCAAATATTACATGCCACCTTATAATTTCTGAAAAAATGTATTTAGAATGTAATGCATTTAAAATACTTCTTATAGAAGACTAAATAAAAAATAAAAAAAGAAGACTAAATAAAAAAATAAATAAAAAATAAAAAAATAAAATACTTCTTATATAAAATACATGATGTGGACCAATTCATTCACATATCTGAAAGACTGAATATTTGCAGAACATCCTCCTCAAACCCAACTTCTTTCTACACAAACTAGATGCCTTCCTGTGCCCTTCCTCTGTACTTCCATTTGAGTCACTTGGGTCTGAAAACTAGCTCTACCATTTACTGGCTGGGTAACTTTAGACAAATTACTTGACCTCTTTTTCTGAGTTTTTCCATCTGTAAAACAGAGATAATAATAGCGTCAGTTTCTTAAGGCTTTTATGATTCAAATGAGTTGATATTCTCCAAGCTTTTAAAATAGAGCTAGATATTTCTGAAAACAGTAGTGACAATTATACAACACTGTGAATGTAACTGCCACTGAATTTTACACTAAAAATGATTAAAATGGTAAAGATGATGTTAATGTCTATTTTATGACAATAAAAAAAAATTAAAAATAAAATAAAATAATGCCTGACACATAGAAAGGATTTTTTGAAATAAACTAAAAATAGAATTTACTACTCTGCATTATAATTATTTGATGACTTGTCTGTATCACCTTTAACTAAAACTTCATGTGGATAGATGACATATTTGGCTTGTTCAGCATTTGTAGCTCTAATACCTATCGTGGACTCAGACACCATAGGAGGTCCTAAAGAAATACTTACTACTGAGTGTGGTGTCCAGCTCAATAGAATGGGTTACCTAAGAGACAGTGACTTCCTCGTTAGTGTAATTATTTAAGCAGAGGTATAATGATCACCTACTAATGATGTGTCAAAGCACACGTCAAATACATGGGATGAGTATAAGTGTCTAAAATTTCTTCCTAATTTAAGATTGCATTAAGTATCTTGTGCTTTAATACAGCAATTTTCGTAAACAGTACCAACACAATAAAGGAATTCCATCTTTTACTACTGGCCACCTTCACCCCTAAAATAGGCTCTGGTCGTATGAAAACACTGTTAGCCTTTCCAGACCTCCTGGTATATTTACATGCTTTTTGCCTTTGTTCAGAATGTGCTCTGTCAACGGTATGCTTCACTTTCTTGATGTCACATTCTCTAAAAAGGATTCCATGGTCTTCAAAAAGGGTGTTAGTTGTCCCATACATGCTGCATTAGCATTTTGGTTTTGTTTTTATCACATGATATAAGAGTTAACACTTTGCTAGTTCTCTTAAACTGCAGGCTATTTGGAAGCAGAGTCTGGGTCTTTTTCAGCTATTTAACACACTGCCTGGTACTAAATATTTATTAAAAGCATTAAAAGCCATTGCATGAATGAAACCATCTTGTGAGGTCTGCTGCTTTCAATTGTGTACATCATACTTTTTTAAAGCACACTTTTTTTAGATATTTTTTCACCAACCAGTCAAATGCTTTCTTTGTGGCAAAATTCTATCCCATGTGGGCGATTTCAAATATCACCCTTTGATGCTATTGAACACAATATGTTACATGCAAATGTGTACCCCAAAACAAACACGTGCTTTTATTATGTGCCTAGAACTTACATTCTTCAAAGCAAATTTTCTTGAGCCAATGTTTGGAGGTGAAGGGACACGGCCAAAATCTGCTAAGACACTAACCATTCTGTCTGAAAGAAGGAAATGAAAACAAGAAATGAGTTCTTACCTACTACTGTGAACAAGACAATTTGCCAGAGATGATGAATACTGATATTCCAAGCTGTCAATACAGTGTGAGTTAGGAGAAATGAAAGTACTTTAACCTTATGAGAATTTGATGATTCCTAGTCTATGCCCTAAAAGCTGAGCTTTCCACTTTTCCATATAATCTGTGGTTCCCACAAAAGATTATTAAAACACAGAGAGAGGGGGGCACTTGGGTGGCTCGGTGGGTTAAGCGCCTGACTCCAGTTCTGCTCAGGTCATGATGTCCATTTGTGAGTTCAAGCCCCATGGGGCTCCCTGCTGACTGCACATTGATGGCTTGGGATTCTCTCTCTCTCTCCCCTCTCTGTAAGAGCCCCTACCCCACGAGCACTCTCTCTCTCCCAAAATAAATTTTTGAAAAGAAAAGAAAAGAAAAAAAAAAAAAAAACACGGAGAGAAAATCTCAATGAGGAAGTCCACCTTAAAGAGGAAATACGTTTGTCCAAGAGGAAAATAAAGGGCGCGTCCTGCACTACACTTCCAACTCCACAGACAAGAATGGAAGAAAAAGATTAACTGCATTTTCATCTATATCACAGACGAAAGCTCATTTCCCCTTGCGTAATTAGAAGGTTCCTCCGACGTGTTCGTTATCCAGCAATTGCCAATCGGTATGCAGATGGCTCATTAATAAACGATGACACATCATCTGGTGTCAGAAATCAACTCTGGATAATATTCAGCCACATCAGTTTCCTGAAAAGCCTGCATTCATTTAACTCAAGCCTCTTCGGTTAGTTCAGCAGACAGCTCTGAGTAGCTTCTCCACCCCGCACCTCTTCCGTCCCCACTTCTCCCTCGGCTCCCAAGAGAGGCGGACCCGCCTGCCCGCGCGCCCACGTAGACTGGCTGGTCACCGGGGCGGGCCGGCGCGTGCGCACTGGCCTGTCTGCAGCGGGCGGACAATGGACGCCCCTAGGACCTTAGCGCCCGAGCGGTCCGCCCAATCGCTTCCTCGGATAGGAGGGGTTCTTTTGAAGCTGTGGCTGTGTGAACTCTGGGTACTGCTGCCGGATTCCGGTGTGAACATGAAACTTTTGCCTCACGAAGAGGAAGTACATTTTATCAATGAATACGTGAACCTCCACAATGAGCTCCGGGGCAACGTCTCCCCCGGAGGGTCTAACTTGCGCTTCATGGTGAGGCTCTAAGGCGGTTGTCCGAACCGCCCCACAACCTCCTTGTCACGACGCCACTGCTCGGCCTCGGAAACCCGGGCCACTGCTTCACTGAGGCTTACGGATGGCGGGGAACTGCACGTCACTGTGGGTTTAAAATACGCTTGAAGTGATTACACTCAAGAAATAGAAACCACTGTGTGACACACAGTTATTACCAAGATTTTGCAGGGAGCTGGGATCTGTAGAGGCACTCACCTAAGGGGATGTCTCAGTCAACCTCGTCCTAGTCCTGGCCCTAATTTTGCCTTCCCTGAACAATGTTATTCTTGCTTCTCCCCCCCCCCGCCCCCCATTTCTATTTTACATCTCATCAACTGTTTCTCTTGCCTCCCATCTTCGTGATTGTCATTAGAAATGGCTGCAAAATTTATTGGACAAATATTCTTTGACCAGGCAATTAGGAGCTTCCAACTTATATGATAAATGATATCACAAGGACTGTTTCTCTAGACATAAGTCTTTTCTTCCTTCTGGGTTAGTTCCTTAGACAAATTCGAGAAAGGGGATAAATAGATGAAGGATATGATATTTTTATTTATATGATATACAGCAATTGCTATTCTAAAGGGCTGCGCCAAATTAAGTAAATACCAGCAATGTGTTATAACTTATTTGCACAGTCATGGGAAGCAATGACCGAAATGCTTACAAACTTCAAGTTGAGAGTTAGACTTACTGAATTCAAATCCAGGCTCCACAATTTACTGGCAATAAGTAGCTGTAAGTCAACTACTTAATTTTTTTGTTTGTTTGTTTTACTTCTTTTGTGAATTAGAGACAGTAATAATAATACATCACTCGTGGAATTATTGTGAAAATTAAGTGAAATGATACTTAAAACACATTTAGAATAGTGACTAGTATGTAGTAAGCTTGTGATGTGTAAACAGTATGCAAAATAAGACAGGAGGAGGATAGTCCTTGGAGCATTATTTGCAAATGGAAAACTAAAGGGCCATTAATAGTGGAATGGTAACATTTATTATATGCTATCCATACTACAGAATAGAATGTAAAGTTTGTAAAACAGGTGGATCGAGCTGTGCTAAAATGGAAAAATCTAAAAGAAAACTGCCAAGTTGCAGGCCAGTTATATTGTGTATAGTATGATTACAATAATGCAAAGAAAGAAAATCGCACAATACCTACCTGAAACATCCACACTTGTATCTTATATTTGAATATGTTTGTACGTGTATGTATATAGACATAGAGAAATGTATGCATAAGCAATTTTTTTTAACAACTGTTACCTTTGGGGAGGAATGTTGGGGGTGGGAAGTATTCTAAAGGCATGATTTATTTTCTATATTTTCTATATTTATGTATAATCTATGAAATTAAGAAAACTCTAAGGAAATCTTAGTATTGGTTTTCAGAAATGTTTACTTTCAGATATACTATAACATGTGTACAAAGCATTTTGATTTTACAACTATTTTGCTGATTTATCTATGGGTGCTGTTTTTGTTCTTGTCCTTAATCAACCGCTGAATTTAATGAGTCTCTAAATAATGATAAAATTACACATTTCTGCATATTTCCAGGGCTAGCCAGGAAACAGTATCTTGTGATATTTTCTTACATTTCTGGGACTATCCATAAAACTTTACATTTGCCTCTTTTATAATATTTACCAAGTACCGCTATGTGTTAAAATCTTATCTATAAAATATAGAAGAGAAAATTTATGCCAGACTTTGTATTTTATTTCTCACATTACAATAGTTTGCATATACTCAGTATTCAATAAATAGTTCTTATACAATAATTTAAAATATTTATCTTACTATGTATAAAAGGAATGAGATTAAAAGTATATATTCTGAATAGACTACATGTAAGAGTATTATAACCATTTGCATCATCTTAAAATCTGATTTTTTAATTACAAATATATGGGTAGTCCTTTCCCTCAAGAAATAGTTATTTCATTTATGATTAACTCAAAAGCATTTTCCCCCATAGAAATTCCACAAACCAGACCCATAAGCACAAAGTTAGTATTGTTTCCTTAAATCTAATATGAGAACTCTAGGAAAATAATTTAGAGAACAACAACAACAAAAAATGCTCATTATTATTTTGTTTTCTTTGATTTTTGCATTTTTTTTTCAGACTTGGGATGTAGCTTTGTCACGGACTGCTAGAGCATGGGGGAAAAAATGTTTGCGTGAGCATAATCCTCATTTAGAAGAACTAAACATGGCTCATCCTAAATTTAATGGTATTGGTGAAAATATGTGGATTGGCCCCGAAAATGAATTTACCGCAAGTATTGCTATCAGAAGTTGGTATGAAGAGAAGAAAAGGTACCATATTGAAAATGACAGTTGCTCTAGTGACTGTTCTAATTATAAACAGGTATCTAATTTTTATATTAATTCAATAGACTCCTTAATTGCTTTACTACTGAGTTTTTATTATGTTTAATTTTATAAATTAACCCAAATGGTAAGTTACTTCTAACAGAATCAAAATTCTAATCATTCCTAGATCTTCAAAATGTCTATAATTCCATCTATTACATGAACCATACAGTTAAAACATTTCTTTAAATGTGGTAAATCTCATCTCCATACCCAAAAATGAAAGGTACTTTTCTAAAAGCAATACGTACTGGAAAAGGATGAAACAGGAAATAAAAATTATTTTTAAATTATTGCCTATAAACATAAGTAAAAGACTTGATTATTTTGCACAGATCAGTATACATACTGCTGTATAACTGATTGATTAAAGCATGTTAAGTACCAATTAATAGCATTATTTTCCTGTCTCCTGTCTAACAATCCACATTTACACTTTATGCTCCAAGAATACTAAACTACTTGTTATTTCCTCTACACTTATTATTTTGCATATCACATTATTTATAATCATCTTTTTATATATGATACTACACTAAGTACAGAGACCTTGTCTTATCCACATGTCATGGACAACATTATTTTGGTCTTCAATAAATATTTGTACCAGGAATCAAGAAATTATTAGATGAACTTCCAAGCTGATTTAAGAGATTATTATTTTTTAATCAATAAGATCTGATGTCATGTTTTATGCAGAACTTAAAATCTTATGACTTTAAGACATGTTGAACTCATGTCTTTATGTTCCATCAAATGAATCATGTTTTAAAAGATGTTTGACTGTTCTTTCTTCTTCTAGAAAGTTATAGTGGTTCTCCATTGTCTTACTCATATCAAAGCCAGACTCCTTAATATGATTTTAATAATCCCAGTAAATTAATCATGTCTACTCCATGATCTACTCCTCTGTTATATTTTACTCTTTATTTCTGGTATCATAGACATTTTTGTTTCTTTTATCTTACCTACTTAACTCCATTTCAAATGGTGCAGACATTCTATTCTCTATTCTTTTAATGTATCACTATTTCTTTAAGAATCACACTTTTAAAACCACTAAGACTTGGGACAAAAAGGAAAGGAAACCAGAAACTGTTTCTTCCACAGAGGTTAACAAGACCAAACACTTTCTTGTTATGTGGAAGTTGTGTGGAAGTATTAGAAATACTAAAGTCATACAGAGAATTTCTGGAACATCTTTAATCGTTCTCATATTTTCATTCCAATTCAAGACCTTTTGTCCTTTTATAGAAACCTGCTCTTTTATTCATTTGTTTTGCATTGCAGGCCCAGACTATTTTATTTCATAATAGAATTTCCTCAACAAAAGAATAGAGAAATGCTGACTGCATTCAGTTACTCTCTACTCTTGTATAGCTTTTCCTTTCCTTTTATAATCTTGATGTTTGGTTTTTTTTTTTCCTTTCTATGCACAACTTCCAGTCTTCCAAAACGTTATCTCCTCCTTTTCCCTCTTCCTATCTGCCATAACCTAGAACTCTCAGATTCAACAGGAGTTTGAAAATTGATTCAGCATGTGTGCCTTCCTTTGACTTTAAACCATTCTGGATCAGTATTTCTCAAACTCTTTATCCTAAGTTTACAGTGGTAGAACCTATTAAAGGTTTCTCCAAGTACAGTTTGGGAAATGCTTCC